AGGAATCCAAAAATCCTAGGCTACCAACTATTCCCACAATCTTCATCATCTGGAACTTGATCTTATTGCGCAATACAATCAAGTTTGCATCAAGAAGAACTCTTGTGGTTCCAAAAATATAGAGCCAAGTAGATAACCCAAGGTGAAAGAAATACTAAATACTTTCACCTTACTACTTTGGCTAAAAGGAGAAAGAGAAAGATTGAGATTCTCAAGAATGAGAATGAGGTGTAGGTGGACCAACCTGACCAACTGAGAGAGTTGATCACTAACTATTTTGTCAGTCCTTTTGGCTATACCCCTTCTATTTTGTCTACTAGTTAGAGCAATCTGGTGAGCTACAAGCTCACCCAGGAGGACAATGCTGCCCTTACTAATGACATTACCAATGAGGAAGTGTGGAGAGCTATTAAGAATATTAATGCCTTTAAAGCTCCTGGGAGGGATGGGTTCCAGGCTATGTTTTACCACACTTATTGGTCTATTGTTGGTGCTTCTGTGTGTGATTTTGTTAAAAAGTGTTTCCTTTGTAACCAAATTCCGAGAGAAATGAACAGAACTCTTATTGCTTTGATCCCTAAAACTGATAACCGTGAGAGTGTGAAACATTTTCGACCTATTAGTCTTTGTAACGTTTCCTATAAAATCATTTCAAAAATCATTGTTAATAGATTGAGGCCCTTTTTGAGTAAGATTGTTAGACCTAACCAAAGCAGTTTCATTCCTGGACGCAATACTAGTGATTATATAATCATTACTCAAGAAATTATTCACTCTTTGAACAAAAAGAAAGGTAAGAAGGGAGGTCTGGTTTTTAAAATTGATTTGGAAAAGGCTTATGATAACATCTCTTGGGACTTTTTAAAACAAACCTTGGAGGAGTTTAATTTTGATCATCATTTTACTGAGCTTATCATGAGCTGTGTGACCACTATGTAGAACTGCTGTTATCTAGGATGGTGAACCTCTAGAGGAATTTACTCCTTCTAGAGGGTTGAGACAAGGGGACCCTTTGTCTCCTTACCTGTTTGTGCTGTGCTTAGAGAGGTTATCTAATATGATCAGTTTTCAAGCTGATAATAAAGCTTGGAAGGGAGTGGAGACTTCAAGAGGAGGGCCTAAACTCACTCATCTTTTCTTTGCTGATGACTTAATGCTTTTTGGACAGGCTACTACTTCCAATTGTAGCACTATCATGAAGGTCATGGATGAGTTTTATGAAATTTCTAGTTTGAAAATCAATTCACATAAATCCCAACTCTTTGTATCTCCTAACATTGATAGGAGGAGTGCTAAAGAGATTAGTACCATGTGTGGCATTCTTCTTACCTCTGATTTAGGGAGATACTTGGATGTCCTTATCATCCATGGTAGAGTTTCCAGGGGTATTTTCACCTATATTTTAGAAAAGATGCAAAAGAGTTTGGCAGGATGGAAAACTAATACTCTATCCATGGTTGGTAGAGCTACTCTAATCCAATCGGTGGCATATGCTATCCCTTCTTATGCTATGCAGACTATGCTTTTACCATCCAAGGTTTGCAATGAAATCGATAACATGAATAGAAACTTTCTCTGGGGGGATACTTTGGAAAAGAAGAAAATCCACCTTATCAAATGGGATGTTGGGGATTAAAAAGCTAGGGAACCTAGCTTTGATCTCGAAGTTGGGATGGAATCTGATTAGCCATAGAGACAGTCTGTGGTGTGAGGTTTTGAGAAATAAATACTTAAACAAAACTTCCTTCTTTGATTGCCAGAAAGGCAAGGATGTTTCCTATATTTGGAGAGGCATCATGAGCACCAGACCTCTCTTAAGGAAATGTGTGAAGTGGAGCATTAGTGATGGCAAGTCTGTGAATGTTTGGAAAGATTGGTGGTGTGGAAACAGTCCCTTTGAGGACATTCTCTAGCACTACATAATCTATTCATACTTATGCTAATCACATTACCAATTTGAGAGAGTTACTGGGGGCGGATGGGAAATGGGATGTCAATCTGGCTATAGATAAGTTTTCCTATCCACTGGCTGCTCTGATTCTAGGGGCTCTGCCCCCTGGAAACACTGGGATGGATACTCTTGTCTGGAAGGGATCTCCTGGTGGAGAATTTACTATTTCCTCTGTGTATGAACTGCTATAGGGAAATGAGAACAAGGAGGAGGACTGGTCTTGGGTGTGGAAACTGAGATTGCCACAAAAACTTAAAGGTTTCTTGTCGACTGTGTTTCATGGAAGGCTGCTCACCAATCAAATGAGATTGAAGAGAGACTTGACTAATAATCCTCAATGTCTTAGATGCAATGGGATTAAAGATATGAATCATTTATTTAGAGGCTGCTACTTGGAAAAAGAAGTGTGGCTCACTGTTTTTGATGAACGCTGGTATATAGACATGTTGAGGAGGCTTTGGATGGATTGGCTCAAGAGGAATGCTAAAAGTAAAAACCATTTTAATGATCAGCTCTCTTGGAATACTATTTTTGTTGTGGCTTTATGGAAAATATGGAAAAATAGAAATGGTTTTGTTTTCGAAGGAAAAACTGTTAGTAACCAAGAGAGTGCAAAATTCATTTTTGATTACTCTCGAGAAATCCATCAAGCTTTCCTCTAGCTTGTACCACAACCCAGACCCTCTTTTAGACTAATTAACTGGTGTATACCACTTGCAGAAAGGCTGAAACTTAACACTGATGGCAGTAGGAAAACTAGAGGAGATGAAGGCTTTGGTGGGTTGATCAGGGACGAGAGAGGTGCTTGGGTGTGTGGTTACTATGGACGATTGCAACAAGGAACAAGCCTTGAGGCTGAATTATGGGCCCTTTACAAGCGACTCATAGTTATACTACAAAAAGGAATGAACAATGTTATCATTGAAACAGATGCGATGCAGGTGGTGCAATTGATGAATGAAGAAATAAGAGACAACTGCCCCTTCAAGAATCTGGTGGAAGACTCTAAGATCCTGCTCAGAGGATGATGCACTGTCCAACACATTTGCAAGGAAGGGAACCTTTGTGCCGACCCCTTGGCGAAGTTTGGAGCTCAACAACCCGAAGATATGTTGGTGGTGAACGATCCACCGACGGAAATTAAAAGCCTTATTATTGCAGACATGATGGGATTGTCTAGGGAACGTGCTTAGCCCCTTGTTTTTCTTTCCATTTCCGATGTAACCAAAAAAAAAAAAAAATTATGTTTATTTTAGAAGACTTTAAGTCCTGTTTGTTTATCGGATATGGATGTAAGATGTGATATAATATGAGGTGGGTCCCACCTATTTTTTTTATCTCCTTATATCTTATGTATGGTTACTTTAGATATAGAGAGTTCGGATAGTATATGATACAAAAAGAAAATATGCAATACCACCCTTCCTATGGTATTATATATCCTCTATCATCAGATATAGTTTATCTCTCATTCTCAAGTAAAAAATAATTATTCTCCTTTCACCCCCATACTATATTCTATTTTAACCAAACATAATATAATTAGATCCACAATATATAATCGATCTCATAATTCATCTTTATCTCTAGATATTATATATCTTCTTAAAATTCTTATATTCAATTTCAACAATCAAACGATTAAAAGATCGGGCTTGACAGCTTGGGTTGGGAGCGCCTCACGCGAGCGGATCCTCTAGAGTAACCCTCTAGAGTGATCTCCTAAAGTGAGCGGATCGGACGACTCAGAATACTCCTCACCAAAACGACGTCGTTTTGGTGAGGAATTTGAAAAAAAAAAAAACAGATCTAAACCCGACGCGCATCCTCCTCCTCATCCTCTCTCTCTGTCTCTCTCTCTGTCTCTCTCTCTCTCTCTATATATATTTCTATATCTATATCTATTCGCTCTACTCGTGATCGCTCCTCATCGTCGACGTGAAATATAGAGAGAAAGAGAGAACTCAACCATGGAGGAGAATTCTGCGGCCATTGAAGCAATTCTGAGAGGAGGAGGAGGATGAGAAGAAGAATAAGAGAGCAGCAAAATCAACAACAAAGGAACCGTGAACAACGATGGCGGATGGAAAACGTCTCTCTCTATATATATATATATATCTATATCTATATCTATTCGCTCTACTCGTGATCGCTCCTCCTCGTCGATGTGAAATATAGAGAGAAAGAGAGAACTCAATCATGGAGGAGAATTCTGCGGCCATTGAAGCAATTCTGAGAGGAGGAGGAGGAGAAGAAGAAGAAGAAGAGAGCAGCAAAATCAACAACAAAGGAACCGTGAACAACGATGGTGGATGGAAAACGGTGTCGTACCAGAAGCGCCACAGAAAGAAGTCGGTGAAGGCCCCGGAGGCCTTCCCCGATCCCCAAAAGCTCGGCTCCTCCGCCACTGGCAATGTCTTTCGGTCAATCGAGCAGCACTCCGAGGAGCGTCGCCACCGTCTCGAAGCTCAGAGGGCCGCCGCCGGAGAAAACGCCGTCAAATTGAGCGGTGATGACATGGAGGATGGTGCCGATATTGAGGCCGCCTCCGGTGTCGACAATGGCGGTGCGGAGGCGAAGAAGACTAAGGTGAAAAAGCCGAAGAAGCCGAAGGTTACTGTCGCTGAGGCGTCGGCGAAGATTGATGCTTCTGATCTTGCTGCTTTCCTTGCTGATATAACGGTAAGCATTGAATTCTTTCAACTTCATGTATCAATTCAATCTAATTGAGCCTGATCTGTTATTCAGATAGATTTGGATATAGATATAGAGAAAGAGAGAGAGAGAGAGAGGAGGAGGAGGATGCGCGTCGGGTTTAGATCTGTTTTTTTTTTTTTTTTTTCAAATTCCTCACCAAAACGACGTCGTTTTGGTGAGGAGTATTCTGAGCCGTCCGATCCGCTCACTTTAGGAGATTACTCTAGAGGGTTACTCTAGAGGATCCGCTCGCGCGGCGCACATCCCAGCTGTCCCCTCCGCATTCCACGTGTCCACAATCAAATCCAACGGTTGACACGTATTCACCCCCGTATAAAACCCCAACATGACCAAAACTTATATATATAGAGCGAAAGCTAGAGCCTTTTCTCACACTCCATCCCAATCAAAACCCTAGCTTTTGGTACTCTTTCGATTCTTTTCCACATACAGAGTATATATATACGCTACATAGAAAAATATTAATCAAGAAAAAGGTGTTGGTGTAAAGAGAGAGGAGAATTTCAGAGCAATGGACGAAAGCCCTTCTGCTAAGAGATGGCTTCCACTTGAAGCTAACCCTGATGTTATGAACCAGGTAAATCTATGTGGGTTTTTCAATGATCGGTGATTGGAACAATGCTAAGCTTTATTCAGTTTTCTCGGTAATCGAGCAAAAGATTGGGTTTTTCTTGAGCCCTTTTATTGAAATTTCACTTTGTTAACTTGGTTGGATGTTGGCAGTATTAGACTAGTACTGTTATATGATTAAATTTGGTAGGAATATGAAGGGTTTGATATTTATATAGACTGGCTTAGAAATTGTATGTTTGTTGAAATGGGTGTTTAATTTTTGACAAGTTTAAATCCAAATAGAACTTGCTTGATTTGATGGGAAGGAAAGATGTTAGTGTGCTGCATGATTTGTTTGATTTTTTCATGGAGTATAGTTCCTTTGGGGACTCGGGCTTCCGGAGGATGAGGCAGAGTGCCATGATGTATATGGCTTGGATGAAGAACTATTGGAAATGGTCCCAAGACCAGTTCTTGCTGTGCTGTTTCTTTATCCTATCACACCCCAGGTGTGTGTTGTTTTTGAAATCCATGTTTGTTCTATTTTTGTGTATGCTTACTTTTTTTGTGATGTATATGTGGGTTGATTTGAATAAATTTTTTTATGTTTTCAGAGTGAAGAAGAGAGGATACTGCAAGACAGTGTAAAAAAGGTGAGATTTGGTGACATTGTTATTTCACTATTAGTGAAACCTTTGTATTATCTAAGGTGCTGCTTTTCTTCTGATTTCTTTTCTTACCTGGGAATGCTTTTTGCAAATAATTTGTGATCAGTACATAATTGGAAATTGAAATTTATATGTCTAGATCTAGAATTTAATATGAAATTCTACACATCCCCATTAGGCACTTAGACTCTTGTTACAATGAAATAACTGATAACAGACCATTTGCCTGCACGAAACTTTCAGAGAGAAAAGGGCTAACACCATTTATTTATTTATTTAAAGTAGTCTGGCACTCATCATGTCAATCATTTTAGCACTAATACTTTTTTTAAGTAAGACTATGTTGGTAAGGGCCATTTGCTTGCATGAAACAATTCCTAACACTCAGGCCTCGTTTGGGAACCTACTCATTTAGCCTAAAACTAAAAAGTTACTAAAAAAGCCAAAATGCCAACAACCCATACCAAAAAGTCAAAGATTCTCTTTTCTCTCTACTTTTTGCACATCTTTTCGTAAAAAGCCAAAAAGTCATCCCAAACATACTAGTTTTTTTTAGCTCATATCTTAGCCAAATAGTCAAAAAGTTATTAAATTAGCCTGTTCCCAAACGAGGCCTCAGATGTTGCTGCTAAAATTAGGGTTCTAGGAACTATTATTAATGGTGCTGGATTACCATGTAATTCCTTAATGGTCATCTGTTATGCTTGGTTATTGGTATATCTCTCAGGTGGATAGTATGATGTTTTATTTACTAGGTTGTATATTAGTGCCTCATGGATGCGTAGTAATTTTTTATTAATCTCGAGTAAATATGTTTCTGTCTCTCCACAAAAGTTTCAACTATTGTAGTCCTCATTGTTGATTAAGTATAGCTCCTGTACAGACTGAGTTTCAGATTAAGTATCTGATTAGTAGTTGGGGTTTGGCTCATGTGACAAACATATTTCAAGCTTAGGTGATTGAATATCCAAAGTTTTCATTTAAGCTAGGAATCTCATGATCACATAACTCTTTGATGCATTTATCCATTTCACTCATTTTATAAGTGACATCCTCAATCTTCCATTCATTATTAACAATTGATCCAGTGTTGAAAATAGGAATACCTTTCCCATCAATTTTTACTCTTATCTTCTTTTGTGTTTCAAGTTTTACAAAAATTAAACTACATAATTCTATCATAGTTTTACTTAACATAGAAATTTTAGATTCTAAAGTATATCACAATTCTAGCTTTGTTTTCTCTCTTGCTCTTGTTATAGTAACGATATGATTTAGGACAACTTTGGATAGTGAAAATATGGTTATCCATGTTTTACAATGGAAAAATGTTATGAAAAAGCTTATTAGTATTAGTATGACTTTAGGGTTTTAAATGACAGAAAGGTGTGTGTAATACAACTTCGGATATTCAAAATATGGATATCCATGTATGGTTTTACGATGGAAAAATGTGATGAAAAAGTAGTTCAATGACCTGGTGGCGACCAATTTATAGGTTTTGGCATAAAATTGAAGGCTAAAGGGTGGGGAAGAGGTTAGGGTTTATTAGGTCTTAATATTCAAGAGTTTTTGAGGTTAAATTTTGTGATGTTATAGAGCTTTGATTAATAGCCAGAGAACAAAACCTTTCCCATTTATTATATAATTTGGTTGTGCCTAGGGTTATACAAAATATCGTCTAATCCGCTAAAATCGCACCAATCTGCATCAATTTGCACCGCTCTATCCGCTAATTGTTGTTTAAATTTTAAAATTTATAATTCGCCTTTTAAACCGTTCTGCTTTGCTATAATTAATATATATATATTTATTTTTTTTTTAACTTTTAATAAAATATCAAAGTAAAAATGAGTGAGATAGATTTAATATGTGAAATTTATTACAAATTAGTAATTATATATATAAAAAATATTATGTAAAATTAGTTTGTGTTATATTATATATATGAAAAATATTATGCAAATTAGTGTTATATATTATGCAAAGGCTTGATAATTGGTTAGAATATTTTTCAATCTGCCCAAAACCTTTCAAACCGCAATTTGTCAATCTGCTAATCCGTCAATCGGTTTATAATTTTACTTCCAAACCGTCCGAACCACAGTGTGCACACCTTTTTGTGTCTCTAGATTGGTGCCTCTATCATGGGGATGCTCAAGCAACCCATGATCTAACGCGGGATTTCCAAGGACTTATGAATTGGCAACTTGAGTTGAGGAATCGTCAAAGCTATTCGGCTCGCCCTTGTAGGGTGACCCTACTTTGACTAGTCTTAAACATGGCATGTGATACGTTGATCAAGTCATGTGATACGTTGGAAAGTGTATCACCCCTAATCAGCACAACCCACAAGAGTGAGTTTGGCTTTGCGGACCAACTCTCCTATAAAAGGGGGTCTTCCTCTCCATACGTAGCAGTCCATCTCCATGTGCAGAGAACTCACCCTTCTCTCTCTCTGTGTGTCCATCTCCATGTAGCAGTCCATTTCCACGTGTCTTGCATCATCAGTGCCTACCATGATTCCCAGGGGGCCCTGTCTGTCCACGTCGACCTAGACCATTTCACACAAGATTTTTCTTCCAAACAACAATGTCTTGGGAGATATAAATCTAACACTAATCTCAAGGGATTGGCCTAGTGGGCACAACTTGGGGCCCATGGTATGTTTCCTTCAGGTCTCAAATTCAATGCTCACTAGCTTTAATAAGCTCCTTGGGGAGCATTTGCTCAGGCTTCAAATGTGGCCCCTGCAAGTGGGCGGTGGGATTGGTGGTGCACGTAAGTTAGTCTGGACACCCAGTTATTAAAAAAAAGTAAAAATAAAAATAAAAATAAAAAAATAAATCCAACACTTAGCCATGTAATGTTTAATGCCGCAGATCAAGGTTTACACACTATCTAAGATTTTTCATACCCTCAAACTGTAGGTTTTACTCGGCAATGGCATTTATTCATATTGATCTCTTTGTTTCATTTTCTTTATTTTTCAACTAGCCCTTTGCAATTGGATTATGATCTGATTTTTGCCAACCTGTCTGCAGGAGCATAATGATAGAGTTTACTTCATGAAACAAACTGTGGGAAATGCTTGTGGAACAATTGGACTTCTTCATGCTGTTGGGAATGTAACTTCCGAGATAAAGCTTCGTAAGTGTTCATAACTTTAGTTCTAATGGATGATTTCGGTTATGTTTGGTTGGGGGTATGCAAAAGTTGTTTTTAAATTTTTTGTCTTCATTGAAACATGCTTTCTGTAGATGACAAGATACGACACAAAGACTTGGGGGATCTTTAAATGCTTTTGGGATGATTTGAGTCATCAGTTATGAATATATTGTACATTTACATCTGATTTCTTTTGGTGTTTCTTTGTTTTCAGTTGAAGGGTCTTTCTTGGACAGATTCTACAAATCAACTGCAGCCATGGATCCATTAGAGGTTTTGTCTGTCTGATATTTTCATATTAAACTAAAACATTTTGATGATAGTATTTTAGTTCTTCACAACTCACATATTTGATCATACAATCTTTTGTAGCGTGCTGCATTCCTTGAAAAAGATAGGGAGATGGAAGTAGCTCATTCAGTAGCTGCTACTGCTGGTGAAACTGAGGTAAGTTTCAGCTGGTTGAATTTCAATTTAAGTAGGTTGTAATCGACTTCACTACTTTACCATGGTCCATAGCATTTCTTTTCAGTCATTGTCTCATATAAGACTGGTCTAAAGAGATGAATCTGATTGTCCTGTATAGATTAGGCTCATTCTAAGGAGTTGGACCCCATTTAATGGTTTCCAACTATGAGGTCTGTCAAAGGGATCCTATGGCCTGTAGAAGTAATATGCTATGGAACATGATCTTTGACATAGATTTTTTTTTTTTTTTTTTAATTTTATAATTTGCTAGGGGATATTATTTAGCAGATTGTGAAGTCAGTCCTCTGGCAGTGGAATGATAAAATCTGTACTGGAAAAGGAGTTGACAGTCTTTAAGGCTGAGACAGCAAGTGTACCTTTAGGGTGCTTTAGTAATGTGCTGGAAGATGGGAAACAAATTGGTTGATCATGTGACCTTGTTCTTGTAAGATAAATTGATAGAGTAAGAGAGAATAAATTGTGTATATATTGATTGATGTATTGAATATGTATTACACAGAGAAGGCACTCTCTTTTATAGAGAGAAATGGATGCCTCGGATGCCTTTGAGGATGCCCACCGAGCATGCTACAATTATATACAATTATGTATTACTAACAATGCTATGATGATGTCCACCGAAAGTTGCACTATATTTAGGTATTATATTATATTACTAACAGCCCCCCTCAAACTCAAGGAGGATAGGAACCAACTTGAGTTTGGAGAGAGTAACAAAATAAGAAAAATAAGCTGACAATTAAAAATGGGATAGGAGACACTGTATGGTCGTGTCGGACCGTTGTAGCAGACAGTTTACGGGGTCATGTCGGACCGTTGTAGCAGACACTGTGTGGTCGTGTCAGACCGATGTAGAAGCTGAGAAGACAGTTTATGGGGTCATGTCGGACCGATGTAGAAGCTGACCGGAATCAATGTCGGGACAGTTTATGGGGTCATGTCGGACCGTTGTAGAAGGACAGTTTACGGGGTCATGTCGGACCGTTGTAGGAGACACTGTATGAGTGTATATATAGGCTGCCCAAAAGATATACATGGATGTAGATATCGAGCCCTCAAAAGTCGTGCCCTCAAAAGGTGTGCCATCAAAAGGTGTGCCCGAGGCATCAAAAGGCGTGCCATGAAAAGGCGTGCCAGTTTGTCGGCGAGAAGAGGCGCGCGATGCGCGTGGCTGCCTCGGCTATTTAACCAAGACAGAGCTGAGGCAGAGGCGAAGACAAACAATTGGCGAAAATCCTTAAAGGTAATAGCCATTGGAAGAATGTTTTCCTCTCATATGTTATATTGTGATACATGCATGAAAATAACCTTTTATGCACGATGAAAATAAATGTGGTGTCAAAAGAATGCTTATGGGATTGCATGAGCTTGCATCTCTCTTGTTGGTGAGCTACATAGATGAATTGGACATGACATGTTGAACACTTTCCCTATAAATAATCACTTGATTGAGGGATGGAATAGTTCCAGCATACGCCTGTCTGGCTCTACTTTGGCATATCATCGTATCTGTTTCATCTACCCTTAAAATGTTCAAAAGAACTTGTGTTATCCCATTGCAGGGAAGATGGTGTTGTGATTTGCTGTCAAATTATATTTGTAGTACGTATTTCACATATGGCAAAGTCAGCACTATCTTCATTACTCCTGAGGTTGATTATCTTTGTGGATTGTTTTGATTGTTAGCTAGGACCTAGTTGTTGACTTTGATAATTCATCAATTGAAATGTTTGTCATCCTTATGATAAGCCATTGTCACGTCCTCGTTGGGATTTGTAAGATAAATTGATAGAGTAAGAGAGAATAAATTGTGTATATATTGATTGATGTATTGAATATGTATTACACAGAGAAGGCACTCTCTTTTATAGAGAGAAATGGATGCCTCGGATGCCTTTGAGGATGCCCACCGAGCATGCTACAATTATATACAATTATGTATTACTAACAATGCTATGATGATGTCCACCGAAAGTTGCACTATATTTAGGTATTATATTATATTACTAACAGTTCTTTGTCCCTTTCATAGATTTATGTATTGCCACAACATAACCAATAACATCCTTGTGGGGTCTGAGATTTCTTCAATTATTCCATTCATCTTTGCGCATTATTTGTGAAGAGATGTGTATTATATATATATTTTTGGTAAGTATTTGTGACAAAAGATTCTGGGTTCCATTTCTTAAGCTCAAGGTTTTGACAGTAATATACTTAAACCTTTAAACCTGTATGTATTGATTGAAAAACTGGAAGTTAGGATATGTAGAATATTAGTGAGAGAAGGATGATTTTATTTTATTTTATTTTGTTGAAATGCTATTTTTAATGCTTGCTGTTACAGTGGCCTCAGATAAATTTTAACTGCCACTAGTGCATTTAAATGAGTTTCGACAAATACTATTTTGAGAGAAGCAATATTGTTCAATTTTCTCCCCCTACAATTTTGTTGGACAATTTGTGCTTATGCAGTCTTCCAATTTTCTTTCTACAGGCTTCAGATAACGTGGACGCTCACTTTATCTGCTTCGCGTGTGTGGATGGTAACTTCTCTCTCTCTCTCCACATCAAATAATGGAAAATAGTGCTTCATTAGACTTCATTGATGAAAGATATTTTGAGTCTCTGTGACCTCTTATAAATGCTTGAAGAACCTCTATACGGAACAATGGACACTGATATCTATTGACCAACTTTTTAGCTGAATATGTACTTAACAACTGTGTAGGCAGTAGTGTATATGAATTCACTATATATCTAGCTGAAAGACAAATTTACCATATATCTAGATGAAGCTCTAAATGATATTTTTGTTCTTTAACATTACAAGTTCTCTCCAAATTAAGTGCATGAACTCTGACTGTGGATTTGGGAGTTAACTGCATGCTAGCCTGCTGTGGGTAGTGGTTACCCAAGTCCTTTAAGTATTGTGTTAAATTAAAATTTATAACAAACAATATTTGTAATTTCTAATATTATAGGACCGATTCATATTTTAAACAAATTTTATAGCTTTATTTGTAATTTGTTAAAAAATAAAAGATTTATGTTTCATAATTGACCAAAAATGTTTGTGTAATTACGAAAAAATTTATTTCATAATTGACTAAGATTGTTTGCTTAATTACGAAAAAACCTATTATATAATTGACCAAGAATATTTGTGTAATTACGAAAAAATCTTCACTCAACATATAGGCCACCATTAGTTAATTATTTAAAATGAAACGGCAAAATCGAAAAGAAAAGACGAATCTCAAGCAGCTAACCGGTTCTTATATATATAGATATATGTTCTGTGCTTTTTATCTGTAAAGCTTCTGATCGAATATCATTTTATAGGCCAACTTTATGAGCTTGATGGAAGAAAGTCTGCTCCAATTTCACATGGTCCATCCTCACCAAGCAGCTTATTGCAGGTAATTTATTTTAGCAGAAATTTGCATTGGATGACCATTGTAGTTGTGCCAGCTTAAATTTTTCTTTCCATGTTATTGCTAGGTGACATAGTAAAGAGAAGTACATAATTTTGAATAAACAAAATCTATATATTGCTTTTGAGTTTCAAAAGTAAAATAAAATGCACGACCAGGGTGCCGTGCCTCTAACCCAACCAATTGGGTTGGTTTGGTTTGGGTTTGGGTTTTTGTGACGGTTTAGGCTCGGAGGAAATAGATCATGTAGCCAAACCTAAATAATTGAGATAGATGCTTGTTGAGCAGAGTATTATTGGTTTGTTTATTTTGCTAATATGTACTATTTTTTATCTTACTACAGGATGCAGCTAAAGCCATACAAGGAATGATCCAAAAAAATCCCGACTCAATGAGCTTCAATGTCATTGTTTTTTCGAAGAAAGCTAGGTAAGCATAGTGTCGTTGCAACTTGAGCTAAAAAAACCGGTCATGCATAGGTTGAATGTTTTAACCTAGACATACTTGGATGCAAACATTTCTTAGTTCATGTCTTATTCTGCTTTTGACATATAGTTGGTAGAAATTTCTGTATTCGAGCCACTCTATACAGTTCGTTTGTTTGCTTGTGCAAATTTCTCCCGAGTTTGTTGCATTTGGAGAAATAATTTGATTATGTGGAACCCGGTTTAACAATGACCTGCCTATTTTGATCTTAATAGTAGTGTGTTGTGCATTGACTAGTCACAAGATGAATGCAATGATAATGGATAAAATGATTTTTGAGCTGAGAATGGAATGAGTTATTGGTGATAACTTGTTTAAATTTCGAGTCGATTTCAAATAACCTTGTTGGATATTCTTGCTCCCCGGCGTCTCCCTCTGTGTTGATATCTCTCTTTCCCCCCTTTGTCAATCTCTTTCTCGTTTACCCCTGCTCTCCCTGCTCACTGTCACTCTATTGCGCTCCGTGTGTCGATCTCTCTCCAGCCTCTTCTAAATCTCTCACTTTTCCCTGCTCTCTGTCGGGCTTTCTCACTGTCCCCCTCTCTTGCTCTCCCCTTTCTGTTGATCACTCTTTCTCTCTCTCCGTGTCTCAAGGTCTGAAAGGGAGAATGGGGAGACTTGTAAGGAGATTGTTGGAGGTAGAAGAGTGACGGGGTACAAAAAAAATAGTATATAGTTGAGATTATGGTAGGTGTAAAAAAGTATTATAGCTATTTAGCAGCACTTTTTTTCACCACATTTGGCAGCACTCTCTTTCACAACACTTGTAACTTTATCCTGTGCACCCCAGAATACAAAAGTACATTACATTAATAATAATAATAATAAAATAAAAAAAAAAGCAGCCAGTGAAGAAGAACTGACTAGAAACAAACTTAAGCAAAAGTTAGCAAACAAAGTGCCTAAAAAGTAGCCCCATTAGTCTCTACCACAATGTATGAAACATGCATTGATTGCAGAGGCCAGTTTTCAAGTGACTCCTCCATTGTTGGTAGCTGGCTTTCCTTCAACTAACCTGTTGCTGCCCAAATTGCTCAGCCCGGTCCTTCAACTCTGTCGCTGCACCGGCAATCCTCCGGCGCACCTGATCAAGCTGATCAGATCCAATTGGATGCTTCCCGGCTGCAAAATTGTACATCCAATAGAACACAAATGCTGCCGCGGTGCCAAACCCACCGGAAGCCGAAAACCCAGCAAGAATCAGAAACCCTGTTATCGCTGCCGGGACCAAAACCGGGCTGAAAATCCCCATCAGCGGCGTTGCGATCACCAGAATGATGACAGTGGCCACCAGCATAAGGGCAGAGAGGACCATGAGGGAGCCTCTGACGGTGACTGCGGTGGTGGTTTTGGCCACCTGATAAGATAACTGCTGGTGGTGTGGCTGGGTTTGAGGCATTGTTGAGGTTGAATCAAAGTGCTGTGAATGATGGGATTGGGAGTGTTCTTGTTTTGGTTTGATGGGTTTTGGTGGTGAGATAGAGAAAAGATATAAAAGCTAAAATGGGGAGAGAGAGTGTGTCACGTGGTTCTTGTTTGTGAAACATGCAGGGTTTGCATGAAGTGGAGAGTCTTGCCGCTGGACACGTGTTTATATATCTTGTCTATACTCTCTTGAGAAGATAAGAAAGTGAAGAAAAATAAAAAAAATTACAACTTAGGTCTCGTTTGGAAATAAAATATTTTAATAATTTTTAACTTTTTTAGTTAAAATATGAGGTAAAAAAATTAGTATGCTTAAAATGATTTTTTGATTTTTTTACGAAAAGATGTGCAAAAATAGAGAATAAAATTTTTAACCTTTTGGTCTAGGTTATAAACTTTTTGATTTTTTTAATTAATTTTTTGACTTTTAAGCTAAAACTATAGCATGCTAAACGATGTTAATATGATTATCAGGAGATAAATCAGTGAATTTATAAATTGTTAATTAAAAAAAGAGAATTTTTAATAATTATTAGCCGAATTTATGTGTGACATTAATATAAATGACACTGGCTTCTCTCCAGTTCGATCTGGGATTAGAGGGTACTGTTGGACATATGAGAGTCTACCACGGGTCCCGTTTCGATAATTCGAACCGTTCAATGTGTAGAACTCGTCGAGCACTATATATACGTAAAAAATCACGTTGATCGGATATCGATAGCTATTTCATCAGATCAGTTTTCTATCAATCGTTTATTTTTTCACTGTTTATTTTTTTTTTATACAAAACTGATTTGATCAAGTAATTATTGATATCCGATCAATGTGATTTTCTACAGGTATATAGTACTCGACGAATTCTACATATTGAACGATTCAGATTATCGAAACAGGTCCCGTGGTGGGTCTACACAGGCCCAATAGCAAGCCAGGACCAATATAAATCCTGTCAACTCCATCGATGCCCTCGCATTAGAGGTCTCTCACAAACCATTTCTTAAAGCAATAAACTACATTAAAATTAATTTACTTACAATCCAAACCCAACAGTGACAGAGATTCTATCACAAAAATACTAGGACAGTATTTGAATTACAGATTTAAATAGGGATTTGAAAAGGAAAAGAAAAGAAAAGACAAGAAGAAAGATAGGACTTTCCTAAACAACAACAAAACAAAGGCCTGGATCTTCATGGTTCACGAAGCCAAGCAAAAGGAATAAGGGCCAGTGGGAATTGGAACTTCACCAAATCCTTCTAGCATTTGTATCACTATCTTCATTGTAGGCCTTTTCAAAGGGTTCTCTTGAATACAACAGAGAGCCGTTGCGACCCATCTGCGCAACATCATGATATCACTCATGGCTTCCTCATCATTATCCACCAAAGTATCTAGTCTCCCTCCCATATAGCAATCATAAGCCCAATCTGTCAGTATTGCTCTTTCTTCTTCCCCACATTCCATTGCCACACTCTTCCTGCAGCAAATGATCTCCAACAACATGACACCGAAACTGTAGACATCCACTTTGACTGTCACGGGTGAATTTTTGAACCATTCTGGAGCCACGTATCCTTGAGTTCCTCTTATCCCAGTATGAGTCCGAGTCTGATTAAGCGTCAAAGATTTTGCCAATCCAAAGTCGGAAATTCGTGCTATGAAATATTCGTCAATGAGTATGTTTTGAGGCTTTATGTCACAATGGATGATTGGGGCACTGCATTCTTCATGCAAGTACACTAGCCCTCTTGCAATCCCCAAAGCTATTTGAGTTCTTGAATACCAATCAAGTCTTGGAAGGCTGAAAAGGAAATTTGCTAAACTGCCATTGCTCATGAGCTCATATACTAGAAGTCTTTCAGGCCCCTCAGCACAATACCCGATCAGTTGGATTAGATTTCTGTAATGGGTTCTCCCAATTGCATTCACTTCGGCTTTAAATTCCTTCTCTCCTTCTGGTGACAATTTGTCCAATTTCTTGACTGCAACTTGATTCTTAGAACCAAAGTTTAGTACACCTTTATAAACAATGCCAAAAGAACCCACTCCCAGTTCTTCCTTGAACCCTCGTGTTGCTTCTTTGAGTTCTTCAAAAGTGAAAATATGCAAATTTGTTTCGAGAGCGTTAGAATCATGTAGAGTCTTTTTTGGGTTCTTCTGACACCTTGAGAAAACAAAAAAAGAAACTGCAACTAGCAAAAGAATGTTGAAGAAACTAGAGCTGCCAAAAAGAAGTGGCCACGAGAAAATATGATTATCTTTCTTCGAGTTGGAAAAAGGAGCATCAGAATTGCCTGAAGGAGGTACATCTCTCCTTATTTTGATGATGGTTGTTCCACCCGACATTCTACCGTAAGACAATGGCATTTTCATCTTCCAACATCTGCCATTGCTACCATCAAATACGGCAACAGTACAAGAACAATCATGCAAACCAGACTGTTCGCATAGTGTTTGATTTTCAGGTTGAAAAACTTCATAAGTTTCCTATGTTGGAAAATTCAATTCCGGAATCAACTCTAAATAATACAAGTCTTCTGGTTTTCTTGATCCATCATCTACTCCACAACCAAGAGGGAAATTTGGTTTGCAGCCTCCAAATTTGTCATTTGGATCCATAAAAGAAAACCCGGGTGGGCATTGACAACTAGGAGTGCCACTATTTTCTTTGCAGATACTATTGAACCCACAGACACCGCTACTATATACATCCAACATATTGCAAATGTTCTCAGGTTGGTATTGAAGAACTGACCAGCTTTGGTCAGTGACCAAAGTCTTTGAGTAAACACAGAGCCTGAAAACACCATCAAAACCCAATGTTGCACGGTAATAGTTGTTTGGGCTATTCAAATCAATACACTTCCAAAAATGGACAATCTCTCCATTCCTTTTCACTATATAAATATCCACTGATTGATTGAAAACCAGCTGAAACCCAGATTGAGAAGAATCGGTGGAATCTGTTCCACTATGGTAATAAAATGGATAAAGAAAATCAGTCGGCCAATCGACTTGTTTGAGCCGAAGGTCCCCATTCTCTAAGTGAAGCACAAACCTTCCTTGTGAGTAGTTGGTTTCAGTCAGCTTAGAAAACATTTTGCCATCCAATGGCAACACTTGGGTTGGCAACAGGGTGTCTGTGGGATAACTAAAACTCGCCCATAAATAAGCAGAGCTATTAGTACTACTTGAAAGCACAAAGTTCCCACTGTCGAGCATTGAGGCATACGAAATGGTGGTTGTGAGTTGTGGCTGCCATATTGTTGGGCCATCAGGACTATTCAGTGTGAGGCCATTTGCTGTGAGCTCAACCTTCGACCCTGATGGCACTGGACTAGTTGTCTTTGCATGCCAGACGATGGTCTTTTCAGGTATATTGACATACCATATGGCAAGCAAGAAGATGTTTGTATTGTGAAGTTGGTAAAATCCAAAAGCGAAATCCCCAGAAGGTGAAATCCATGAAGAGTTATCACCAATGGCAGAAAGTGAAGAGCCCAAAGTTACGTTGGAAGCACCAAATATGGGCAGAAAAGGCAAAAAAGACAGTAAAAGGAGATGACGGGTCGCAGACGAAGCCATTAAGGTTGTTGCTCTAACTGCAAGCAAGGTTTAAATCACTGAGATTTGTTTTGCAATGTTTTAGCTAATTGGGATAGAGCTGTGCTACATGCACGAAAATCATTCATTATCATATAAAATGGTTCACAGGATTAAGAGGGTAGGGCGTTCACATATAGGCTCGCCTTTTTGTCTTTTTGTTTGTGAATAATTACTATACAAATATATTTACTGATTGGACTAACATGGTTGTCAATCTCCCTCCAGAGCCGTATTGTAACAAAAAGGCTATCGACCCAGATTTCTTGCCCCAGATTTTTCTGGGTGAAGTGTTTATGTGGTAGAAATTGAATTGGTATAGTGTGAGGCCAAGTATAAAATGAATTTGAGTCATAAATTGATATTTTTGAGTAAAATTGAGTATAAATTTTTTGAAATTGTAACATTATTATTGGTATTGTAAAAGTTAAAAAAGGTACACAAGGAAACTCAACTTTGTTTGGAGTAATTTTTTTTATTACAATTATATCATCAAGCAAAAAGACTAATAAGGACACTAGCGCACACACTCAATAGTTGATATTTGAACCATTGGCTTTTGTTCGGTAATTTATATCCAAATAATGAGTTTTTGTTAGCTAGTTGATATCTGAACCAAGGGTTTAAAAATTTTGAAGAATGTGAATAGAGAAAATGTTTGAATTGAACATATAATGGGAAATGCTATGATAGACACCCTAAAAAAGGTGTGTATCATATGTAAGTTATGTCATTTGTGAGTTTAATTATCACAAAAAAGAAGAAGGTTATAATCAAATATCACATAAGGTATAACCATAACTAAAATAATGGCAAAATCAACATCAAAATAACTAACAAACAATATGTTATAACCAAAGACACAAAAATTATAACTAAGGGTGCATATGATAGAATTTTTCATAAATAAAATGTGAATAGTGTTGCAATATAAAACAATCCTCTATGAACTTGACTCGTGTTTCTCTTGTTAAAAAGTTCATTTAAAATCGGCTTGCGATATAAACAAATTAAATTTGAACATATTTTAAATTTCATTACTACTTGATTTGACTCAATAATATGTACTATAAAAGAATTAAGCTACTTGATCTCAACTCATGATCAGCTTAATTAAAACCCATTTAAGATCGACTCAAAAGATTAAAAAAAAAACTAGGTTTGAACACATTTTGTCACTCATTATGTTTTAAGTCACGTTTAAACAATGGGGCACTCACCCGCAGGTCCTCTTTACATAGTTCAAAACTCATCTAGTCCCCAAACAAAACACTTGTACCAATTAGTTTTATATATTTTTATTTGTTACCAAAATTTCTTATTTTTTAATTTTTTTTTTTAAATTTAAGGACACTGCATATCTTACCACCGTCGAACCACCGTCATACTTTTGTTAGATAGTTATCGGAGGCTCGTCGGAATGTTCAACATTATCGCAAAGTTGTCAGAAATTCACTGGCATATCGCTAGAATGTCCAAAATGTTGTTGGACGTCGAGAACATCGCTGGGAAAAAAAGAAAAAAGAAGGAAATGAGAAATTAGAGCGAAAACATTGCAAAATTTAACCACATCCTCCCCAACACCACAAAACATGAAAAAAAAAAAAAAAAAACAAACAAAAAAAGAAAAAAAAAAAAAAACTCTTTATCATATAGAGCACATAATTTTTAGTTCACAAAATTGTAAAATTTAAAGTTTGAATTTATTGCTCATCAAACTGCACAAATTATTAGTTTATAGTTTCAAAACTGCAAAAATTATCAATTTGGTAGTTTGTAATTTATCAAAACACAATTTCACATCGCGGGGATAATGGAGATCTCAAATTAGTAGTTTCTAAGGGTTTGTAGCTTTTTAGTTTGTCAATATTTGCTAATTTTTTTTTTGGTTTGTTTTAATAAAGAGAGAGAGAGAGAAAAGAAGAGGCTAGAGTCATAAAAAAAACTGAAATGTATATTCAAAATTATAAAAAAGTTCCCTTTTTATTGTCTGTAATTAAAACTCAAAAAATATTTATTTAAAATCTGTAATTTTTTTCCATTATAATAGAAAAAGAGAAGTATGTAGCAATGAAAAAAAACAACTAGAGATTGAAGGATTACGACCTTTGGGTTTACATAAAAAGTCATGAGATTAAATGGAGTACAACTCCTTGTATGAGGGAAGACTTTGGGCTTGGCCCAGTAGTCTTGTAGCCACTTTTTAGGGTGTGATGAGGAGAAGGTCAAGAGTTCGAATTGATAGAGTAACGACGACCCTTTTAATTATAATATAATAATTTTATTAGCAATTAATATCTTACCATTTATTTAAAAAAAAAAAAAAAAAAAAAAAACTCCTTATATAAGGACTTACGTGTAATTAACCCTTAAACAACAATGTAAGACTCCTCATTTACAACTCAATATGTGAAAACAAGTTTTCCATACCGAGTGATTTGTGATTTATGACTTAGAATCTTAGATCACTCGAACCAATCATGGTTTTTCGCGTAATGGATTGTGGATTTTGGTGTTCCAATGAATGAAAAAACAAATAAACAAATAAAAAAATACAAAGGAAAATAATCATTCGAATGCAATATTAGATTCTTACCTTTGTACTTGGCATTCCAATAAAAAGCAAGCTAAGAAGCTCTTTTTTCTCTGTTCTTCAACAAATTGATTTTGTGTTTCATCCATCCACGAGAATCAACAAGTATTTTGTAATGAACTGGACGGGATCGGCGGTCTAGACTTGGCATACTTTGGTCAGTTATACCAAAGACTTTGGGAAGAAGAAACGTTAACGCCCGTTTGTTTGAGTGAAAAACGTTTTCTAAAAAATATATATTTTTATATTTTTTAGTATTTGATATAATAAAAAATGAAAGTCAACAAAAAAATATTTTTCATGATCAACAAAAAAAAAGTTTATATAGGCAGGAAATATTTTTTACTTCTAGAAAGTGGAAAATGTTTTCAGAATATAGTGTTACCAATGTCACTACACTACCATTGCGACTCTCACATCTACCGCCATACCACCATCATCATGGGCACTGCCACCATCACCGTTGCTATCACTGCCGTTATGCCACTTCCACCTCCATTTCACCACCACTATCACCAAATATAAAAAAATATTTTTCATTTAAAAATGTTTTCTGCCAAAACAAATAGAGCGTAAGTCTTTTAAGTTTGTAGCCGGGATAATTGACCAAAGGCAGGGAAATAAGAATGAGTAATGTTAGAGATATCAAATTTTTTACTAAATAAATGATCAAATGTCTCACATTTTTTGAATCTTACATCTATATGAGACATTTAGCCATTTATTTAATAAAAAATTTAAAATCTATAACATTTTCCAATAAAGATTTGTTGTCACTGTTGTGTGTTTTATGCACTCATTTCAAATCTTAATTTAATAATATTGAGTAAAACATAATAATAAAAAATTGGACACCCTAGACTTGGCATACTTTGCTCATTTATTATCAAAGACTTCGGGAAGAAGAAAAGTCTCAAGTCTTTAAGCTAGTAGCTGGGGCAGTCGACCAAGGACCAACGAAATAAGGATTTAGAGTTCGTTTGATATTGATTAATATAGTTAATTTTTTGTATTTAAACTTTTTAAGTTTATCTTTTTTAATCTCGTTTAATTTTTATTTTGGAACTTTTTTAATTTTTGTAAAAAAAAAGGTTTAATGATTATGGATAAAAAATAATATTTTATTTTTTGTGATTATTTAACCCCAAAATAAATGCCAAACAGGCACTTTAGTGTCATTGTTGCATATTTTATGGGGCTCAACCCTCATTTGGAGAGTAGTTATTTTAATCAAAAAGTCACTATTTATCACATCACTCTCTTTATTTTTTTATACATCTTTTCATAAAAAATTATTAAAATAATATATTCCCAAACCAGCCCTCAGTATGGTGAAGCACATCAGTTACCATAAGATTATTTGTGAATAGCTTATTTATTGAATAGATTATTTGGGTTCAATATAAAAAATTGATAATATGCCTTCTTTGCAATAGTAATGGATTGAATGGCTAAATAATTTTTAATTTTTAATTTTTTAGAGAGTTGTGTAGTCATGACCATCGGCTTTGATGTTGGCCCGAGAAATACATTCGCAATGTTTGGTTTTATTTTTTTTTGAATGAATCTAACTTGTCTTATGTTTAAGATTAAAATCAGACTGTCTAGTTTGGTCCATAGGTTTATTTTCGGGCTTCATTTAAATAATTCGAACCGTTTAATGTGTAGAACTCGTCGAGTATTATATTTTTATAAAAAATCATGTTGATCGGATATCTTTAGCTATTTGATCGGATCAGATTTCTGTCAACTATGTTTTTTTTCCCCATCCATTTTTCTTTATACAAATTTGATCCGATCAAATAGCTATCGATATCCGACCAATGTGATGTATTACAAAGATATAGTACTCGACGAGTTCTATACATTAAGAAGTTTTGAATTATCAAAATGGGGCCCAAAAATACGCCCATGGGCTGGACTAGATGGTCCAGTCTTGATCTCAAACATGAGACAAGCTGGACCCTTTTGGAGTTATTTTTTAAAAAGTTATTTGAAAACTCTATTTTAAAAAAGAATTTTTGTTTGGTTTTCAAAAAAATGCATTATGACAAATTCAAGTTTTCTCCCAATTTAAGGAGACAGACAATTAAAAAAAAAATGTCACATCAAAAAATACTTCCATGTTAGTTATATATATATATACATGCTATATATGTATGAAACTATAATTTGGTAGGTATCCATTTATAGGTACATATCTTATCATTAAGGCCTCGTTTGGAAACATATTTTTTTAGTAACTTTTTAATTAAAATGTGATGTAAAAAAAACTAGTATGTTTGAGATGACTTTTTGACTTTTTACGAAAAGCTGTGCAAAAAGTAGAGAGAAAATGAAATCTTTGACTTTTTGGTATGAGTTGTTGGCTTTTTGATTTTTTTAATAACTTTTTGACTTTTTGACTAAAAGGGACACTTGTCAAACGAGGCCTAAATGTGTGAGTTTATCATAAAATTTCTACTCATTTCAACCACAGAAAACATAATTTTTTTACAAATTGGCATTAAAAAAAAAATTGTAACCAACTTACAAACTTTTGCAACATCAAATACAAAAGAATTGGACTTTTTCTTATGCCAATTTCTGACGATGTTACACATGTTTGTGTTAATGTTACGATATTTTGTGATAAAATAAATTTTCTGCATAACATTTGTGAAAATTTAATTCTATGTAAGAAGTATTTTAATGTCAATTTGTAAAAAAATTACGTTTTCTGTGATTGAAATAAATGAAAATTTTATAATAAAGTCACACATTTAATGGTAGAATATATACCCATAAATAGATACATACCAAATTATGTTTTCATACATATATAGCATATACATGTATATATATATATACATAAAACTAACATGAGCGTATTTTTTGATGTGATAATTTTTTTAAAAAAAATTGTCTCTCTCCTTAAATTGGATGGAAACTTGAATTTGCAATAATGTATTTTTTTGAAAAATAAATAAAGATCCTTTTTCAAAATAGAATTTTCAAATCATTTTTTTTAAAAATAATTTTAAAAAAAATAGAACCAAACAAGTGATTATTATTTTATCTTGCAAATGTGACATGTTTTTATTAGCCACTTGCGATACTTGCATTTAATAGATCATACTTATTTTTATTCTTTGGAAACTCATAAAATACTACATTCAAAGATTTTTATGCCATTTTTTGCTATATCCACCTACTACCCTTCTTGTTATATACTAGTTGGATATCATCATTAAAGCACAAAATTTAATAATCCTTAAATTAATAACGTCCAAGGAAAAATTGTTGTTCACCTAAAAATTATTTTGATTAAATGGTCTTTTAATGTGTTATAAAAGAAAGGGAAAATAGCAATTCAGTGTAAAATTAGAAAATTACAAATAAATAGTAAACATTATAAATAATAATAATTAAAAATTCTAAACTTTTTCATGTGTTTATAATTTTTTTTTTTATATAAAAAAATGGTCCACTGGGTTGTAATTTCCCTTAAAAGAAACAAAATAAATAGAACAATGGCGCTTAAGCAAATCAACTATATGTATTCAAGAAGCTCTATGTTTATGGTTGGAAATGGTTAATTTTTCCTCAAGTTTGGTCTATTTTTTAGGTGGGCCCCGAGTGTCGATTTACTCGGGTCAAAGTGGTAACGCGTTCTATGCCGCGTTGTGATTCACGTGGTATATTTGGTTGCTCAAAACCATTACCGAGTGAATGGGAAATTGAAGCCAAAGTGTGCTCCATGGAAATGGAGTTTTGGTGGAAATCCCTTAAGGTTGTAAATTGGCTTGTCCCACATTGATTTGGTGGGAGGTTTTGAAAGGGTTTATAAGGCTTAGGGTGAGATACTTGGGGTGTGCCCCAAGGGGTACCCAAGTGTTTTAGAGGGAGAGGTTATGGGCAAAATGGGCTAGACCCATTGGACCCAAAAATCACCACACGCGCGCGCCGCCGGCCATCCGGTCGGTCTGGGCTGGGCCTGGGCTTGGGCGCGGGTGCGTGGTGTGTGGGGTTGGGCTTCTAATCTTTTTGGGCCAAAAACATTTGAATTTTATTTTATTTTAAAATAAAATCCAGAATTCAGAATTAAATTAGTTTGGATTTTTTGTTCATCCAAACAGGGCCCTTCCCGGTTTCAAACAGAAATAAACAACATATTCTCTCCTTTTCTCTATTTCTTTTATTCTTGTTGTTGTTTTGTACACAACAGAATTAAATCCTTTTAAATACGGTGAAGATTGTCCAACATTTATTTTATTTTTTAATATATATATTTTTTGGTCAGTCAATAAGAGGTTATTTACAAATATTTTAAAAAAAAATTCAAATTGAGGAATCATAGTTGAACAGCATATCCAGAAGTGAAGATTTGTTCTTGCCGCCACAGATAACACATTCTCCCTCACTATTGGGCTCCTTGTTAACTAATAATAGAGATTTTTGGTGAAACCTCCCTTTTGAGCCTTTTTATTAGGGTAAAGGATAACTCAATCAATTTTCTTTCAAAAAGCTCCTGAGTAGGAAATGCCTACCTTAATAAGGACATTTTATAATTTTTATTTTTTTTTATCACAATATTGCCCTTCTATATATACGTATCATACATTTGAAATATTTGAAATCTAAGCTAAAGATCTCGCAGGAACGAAATTAGGAACGAAATCGATGAAGACAATCTCTAAATCTAAAGATCTCGCAACCAAAGATCTCTTACTTGATCAACAATGGACGATCTCGCCGTCGACGATCAACACTCTCAATTAAACGAGAGTTTCATTGAGATTTGTGATTGTTGATTGAGTTTTAGAAGTTTTTCTTCTCAATTAAATATGTTGATTTGTTGATTATTATTATTATTTTTGGATTTATTTTTGTTGTTTTTGATCTGATTTCATTTGACAGAACCAGAGTAATACTTTGGTTCTATTGTTCTGTTTTTTGTTTCAGATAATGAGAGTAAAATTTTACTGTTAAGATGTGGTCATTGCCAAACACTTCAGCCACCACAAACACTGCCTTGGCTTTTTTACTTTTATGCAGAATAACATTTTACTTTTAGATTCAGAGTCTAACATTTTACTCGTTTTTAGAGTAAAATTTTACTTTTATACAGAGTAAAATTTTACTTTTGTGCACAGTCTAACATTTTATTAGTTTTTCAGAGTAAAATTTTACTTTTATATAGAGTAAA